CGGTACCCCGTGGGGATGGCGCGGCCACCGCGAATGGCGTCACCACCGCGCTGCTGGCGCCGCGCACCAATCAGCGGCCGGGAACAGCGCGGGACAGAGCGCCGCCGGGCACGGCCAGGCGGGGCGCTACCGCCCCCTGGCGGCCGGAGGGTAAAACGTACGGCCGCGGGGGAGCGGGAACGGGACGGGAATGGGAACGGGCGGCGGAAACGATGGAACCGGGATGGGAACGGGACGGAAATGGGAACGGGCGGCAGAAGCAATGGAACCAGAACAGGACTAGGAGGGGGGAAGAGTGAGATAGGGCCGGATCAGGACCAGCGCTGGAGAACCATCAGGACAGAACCCCACCGGGACACGGGCAGGGGTACGGGCATTGTTTCCCTCTGCTTGCCTTCAGAGCAGTGAAACCCCACTGTGAGTCCTGCCAGGGGCACACCTGGTTTTCTGCGGTCCCAGTTGTGTGGCCATGGGGCACCCCACACACCAGTGGGGCGTGGGGCCACGGGACAGTCTCAAATGTCTGGGGGTTGTGGGGTTGAAGTGCGGCTCCTGGAAGGTTGAGGATGTTCCAGTTCTCCATTCCACTCTGCCCTTCCTCACACCTGCTTGGCCTTGGTGAACCCACTCCCAGCCTGGCTTTGTGCTCCTTCCTCCCCAGAGGGTGGTTGCTGGCTCCCCATCAGGGACTGACCTGGCCCCAGACCCCCATGGGAACCCACAGAGAGTACAGGTTAGTCTCATGAGGTTCTGATGGGACCCTGTAGCTTTTGGAGAGTGTCTGGAAGGGAGAGAAGTTCTCCTGTCCATTTCCCAAAGAGAGCATGACCAGCTTTCTCCTCGAGGGACTACGGTCCTTGTACATCTCTGTGCCAGAAGCCACTGGCCAGAGAGCTGTGCTGGTGAGGTCTGCACTGGGGAGGGGACCCCCAGCCATGCCTGGAGGGCGTCTGTGCTCTGGGAAGGATTTCTGGGCAGTCAGGCTGGGGCACAGTGGTGTGGCTGCTCCTGCTGCAGCTCCCAGAGTGCCCGGTGGGGAGCACAGGATGGGAGAGGAGCATTCCCATGAGTAGTTACCTGCTGCCTCCACTATGGCCAAGGAGGATGGTGATGTCAGGGGAGTCTGGGGATGATGTCAGGGGGGTTTGGGAAAGTGTGATGAGATCGTTTCCACACAAGATATCCTCATCCCTGGAGATGCTGCCCAGACCCCCTCTGTGGGACACCTCTCTAAGATACATATTACAATTTGCTTTAAGAAAGTGATAGCCACAGGTAGAAAAGCACCTGACCACCTTACACAGCCCCGCCCTGGGGTAGGTAGCCCCACCACCTCCAGCTCCATAAGTAGCCCTCGTTGCCTCCCATCCCTTTCCCAAATTCCAGGGCATGCCATCAGCTCCATGTCCCCCTCCATTATATACTTCTGTGCCCAGGACATATTCCCCTAAACACATCACTGTCCCCAGTTATTGTTTCTGTCCCCAGTCCCATGTCCCTCTCCCCCAACCTATGTCCCTTTCTGCAGCCCCATGTTTCTGTCCCTCAGCTCCATATCTCTGTTCCCAGCCTATATCCTTGTCCCCAGCACCATGCCCCTCTCCCAAGTTCTGTGACCCCATTCCTGGCCCATATCTCGGTTGCAGAGACATGTCCCTGCCCCCCCAGCCCTGTGACCCCATTACCGGCTCGTATCTCAGTTCCAGCACCATGTTCCTACCCTCAGCGCCTTGTTGCTGGCCTCAGCCCGTGTCCCTGCCCCAGCCGGTGTCTCTGTGCCCTGTGCCCTCATTCCCAACTCATATATCCGTTCCAGCCCCGTGTCCGTGTCCCCAGCGCCATGTCCCTGTCCCCAGCCCTGTGCCCCAGTTCCCGGCCCGTATTTCGGGTTCCAGCCCGGTTTCCCTTTCCCGCAGCTTCCCATCTCCATTCCCGCCCGTGTGGCTGTCCCCCGGTGCCCCGGTCAGCGCCGGCTCCATCCCGGGGGGTTTGCGGGGGAGGTGGATTGTCTCTCGGGGCGGCCGGGGCGTGGCGGGACCTCCGGTGATTG